AGCATCCCCCCTCTGTTGGAGACACAAGGACATGGTGAGGGGAACAGTGCAGTTAAAACACTGCTCTTGACACATCAAAGTGACTTCTTAGGCTTGCAGCTGCTCTGATCAGAACATGACATCCCAAAGTCTTATCAGTTGTTACGTATTCTTTTTGTGTATTTTCTCATCAACCTTCCCTTCCTTTTGACTCCCACAAACTATCGGCTCCCATAGCATCATTTTAGATTCTCAGCACTTTTGAAATGGGTCTTTCTAGAGGTGCATGTGAATAATAGTTATGAATCTGCTTGGCCTATTTACTATAAGAAATTATATCGGGTTTTTGGGTGGCAAATTAGTACCTCATTCTAATAGTTCCAGTAAGTATGGCACAATCATGAACTGAATTAGACCACGTGTTTAAGCATCTTTAAAATATCTGCATGACCTTAGTCTGAGGTATATTCAAGAAAACTCTTCTTGGCGACTGGCATTTACTAATACAGTATTAGTTATTAGAATACCCAATAATAGGCCAGCCCTCAGTTAACTAGGAGCAGGGAGGCCTGGAGAGGTTGACTTGCCCAGGATGGCACAGCTAGTTAGGGGCCCAGACAGGGCAGGAACCCAGTCTTGTTTATTTCAGCCCAGTCCTATTTCCATCATGACAACAGAAAGGAAAGTAGTACCTTAGTCTCAGGCATTTTAAGTCATCACGTGTCACGTAGTAGAGAATATCCACTAATGTGTAATCCTCCGCCAAGAACTGTGAAGAGAGCAAGGCATGCACAAAAAGGGAGGGGTTTGACAGCCTTTAATAAGTAGCAAACTCAGTCCAAAACATAAACAACAGCAATCATAAAAAATGACTCTAAGAGAAAATCTACTAAAAACATAAACTGGAATGATTAGGGGAAAGGCCTCCCCTATCACAAACTAATTACAAACAAGTGTACATATGACTTCCAAATGAAGACAACAGGCAACTCTGAACTTCTCAATGGTTTTCTAATGAACAGCTGGCACTCACTTGCAGTTACACTTGGAGCCCATGACAAAAGCTTGTGTTAAGAGCTTTGGTGCTATATCGCTTTGTTACGTGCAAATGGATAAAAGGTGTTTTTGGAAAGGTACTGCTTTACACTTAATTTCTAAACTTGTTTTTCATACAAGATAAAGGTAATTTCCTGAAATACATTTCAAAACCAGGGCCAGACCATTTAAATTGAGGCTTTTAATTTAAAAGCTAGTACAGAGGGCAATGATTTGCTGGATTGCCAAAGACTACTCCCTCGTTGTGAACTGAGTCTAAGTCGGAGACAGGCACATTGTGGAGAACTTGATCAGCTGCATCATTTTCCACAGGTAAGAGAACTGTTTACATTTATTTAGCAGCAACTTGTTAAATACAGATTCTAATGAAAACCTAATTTTTATTTAGTGGTCCAATAATTACCAAGATAAGGGAAAAAGGCATCATTATTTTAAGATTTTTTTAATTTAAGTATATAACGGAAATCATTAAAATATAGTGGAGGACAGGGCCAGGTCTGCTTTTGTTCACAGAATATTAATCAGTGCAACTTCTTCACGTGTGCATTTGTGTGTACTATTTATGTAATGTTAAAACGTAATTGTTATTCATGCCGATTATGCAAGTCTGCAAGAACAGAGAGGAATTTAGGTTATTGTGGCTATTATACAGTTTAAAAAAGTAAACTAAAGGAGCCCTGGTGGCACGGTGGTTAAAGCACTATGCTGCCAACCAAAAGGTTGGTGGTTTGAACCCACTAGCTGCTCCATAGGAGAACACTGTGGCAGTCTGCTTTCATAAAGATGACAACCTTGGAAGAAGCTCTGTGAGGCAGTTCTACCCTGTCTTACAGGGCCACTTTGGGTTGGAATTAACCTGATGGCAATAGGTTTGGTTTTGGTTTAAAGGAGCCCTGGTGGTGCAATGGTTAAGCACTCGGCAGCCAAGTGAAAGGTCAGTGGTTCAAACCCACCAGCAGATTCGGCTCCATAGGAAAAAAAACACCTGACAATTTGGTCCCATATATATTACAGCCTGGGAAGCCCTCAGGGCAGTTCCACTCTGTCAGTAGCACACAACCCCATATACAAAGTGCTGGTTCCTAAAGTCAATTCATCAACTAGAGCTACTAAGTAGCAATGAATAACCACTGCCCAGTGGGGTCTAATAATGTTGCAAGAATATTAAAAAGTTAACAAGCAAGCAAAACAGGATTAGAGACAAAAGAACTATTATTTCAGTTCCGTCTTCATTTGTTTCCCACTCATCCTTTCAATAAAAAAAACCCACAAAAACCCTTAGGAGTCCTAAAACTTAAAGCTTTTGCCAGGCTTACTGTATCCCAGCTGCCCCCTGCTCTTTCCTTCCTTGTCTCCAAAGCACACATACAGCTGGCCTGGTTTATTCCTATATATTCCTTTAGACCTCACCCCATTTATCATCTTCTCAGACACCCTTCCCCAACTCTCCTTGTCTCTTAAGCCCCTCCCTTTCCTTCATAGAACTTACTCATTTTTAATTATACTTATCTGTGGAATATTATAGATAAAATTATCTGTGGATTACTGTAGATAATCATCAAATGGACAAATCTGCTGCAAATGACCTCTTTAAAGTGTTAAGTATCACTTTGAGGACTAAGGTGTGCCCAACCCAAGCCACGGTATTTTCAATTGCCTCATATGCATGCAAAAGCCAGACAATCAATAAAGAAGACCAAAGAAGAATTGATGCCTTTAAATTATAGTGTGGGCAAAGAATATTATATATCATGGATTGCCAGAAAAATGAACAAATCTGTCTTAGAAAAAGTACAGCCAGACGCTCTTTAGAAGCAAGGATGGTGAGAAATTGTCTCATATAGTTTGGTCATGTTATCAGGAGAAACCAGCCCCTGGGAAGAACATTGTGCTTGGTAAAGTGGAGGGTCAGTGAAAAAGAGGAACATCCTAAATGAGATGAACTGACCCAGTGACTGTGTCAAACAAGTAACACAGATTCTGCGGATGGTGCAAGACTGGGTGGTGTTTCGTTCTCTTGTATGTAGGCCACTATGAGTCAGATCAGACTCAATAGCACCTAACAACAATAGCCACCACCCTTGCCTGTCTACCACTGCCCCATGCCAGTTTGTCTTACTGTGGTAGCTTGTCTACTGCTTTGATGTTGGAAGCTGTTGTCACTGGTATTTCAAATACCAGCAGGGTCACTCCTTGTAGACAGCACTCTACAGAGCTTCCAGACTAAGAAAGACTAGGAAGAAATCCCTGGGGATACACATCTAAAATTTAGTCAATGAAGATGTTACGGATCACAACAGAGACCTGTCTGACTTGCTTGCTTTGGATGTATTACTGAAGGATCAATTACTAAAAGAAGATATCATGTTTGGTGAAGTAGAGGGCCAGAGAGGACAAATGAGACCCCTGGTTATACAGATTGGCACAACAACTGCAAAGATAGACTCAAACATGCTGGCAATGGTGAGGACGACGCAAGATCATGCAAGGTTTTGTTCTGTTGTGCAAAGGTCACCATGAGTTGGAACTGATTTTACAATGCCTATCATCTATCTATTCATCCATCCATCCATCCATCCATCCGTCCATCCATCCATCCATCCATCCTAGACTCTAAGCCTCAGGAGGACAACAGTCGAGTCTGATTTGCTCTCGACTGTCTCCTCTGGGGCTAGCCTGGCACCTGGCACCTGATTGGCATTATGAATGAAGGGAAGTATCTTTTTCTTTGGGAGCTCTGGTGGCATAGTGCCTATGGCATTTGACCATGAACCAGAAGGCTGGCAGTTCATACCCACCAGCCACTCCTTGAAAGGAAGACTGGGCAATCTATTAACGTACAGATACCACCTCAGAAACCCAAGGAGGGGTTGCTATGAGTC